TTCTGAAGGCAAGTGGTATAAGATTTGTAATATTTTCAATATGTTTTTATTGATTCTTTGAGAGGGAGAGAGAGAGAAAAAAATCAATTGACTGCCTCCTGCACACCCCTTACTGGGGGTTGAACCTGCAACCCAGGCATATACCCTGACTAGGAATCAAATCAGAGACCTCTTGGTGCATGGAACAGTGCTCAACCACTGAGCAACACCGGCCGGGCAAGATTTGTAATATTTGTCATCTTTCAGACTCCATGATCTCTCAAGCTATTACTTCACTATAACTTCACTTTTGAGAGTTCATTGTTTCTTTTTTCTGATGCAGTCGACATCTTGATAGACTTGTAGCATTAGTGCTTTAAAATTTTAATTTAATGTTGATAAGAGAACTGGTTATTTGCTATCTTTCTCACTATTCACACACTGGTCTGTTTTCCCCTGACTATGGGTATTGACAGAAACTTTCCAGACTTTATTCACAATGGAACAGCTTGCTTATGCCACAATATCTGATATGGGGTGATAAGAGAGCCACTAATCCACGAGACCTGGGTCTGATGAAACTCAGTTTCCTCATCAGTAAAATGAGACTTTGGATTAGTTCACTGAATAGTAAGAGTTCACACAAGTAGTTACAGGATCAATAGCAATTCAGGCCAATATTAATTGAGCAGCTCTTACATGCTTTTTAATATACCAGTAACTAGCTAATACTGAATGGAGCACGAAGTAAGGAGGCAGACTAGTAAATGAATACTTTTCATAGATTAATAATACCTTGAGAACTAAATTCAATAGTAGCAAGAGAAGCTATATAAGCATGGCATGAGACCACAAGTTCTTGTCAGTTCTTTGAAAACCAAATGAAACTGCTACATTTATTCTAAGACTGAGCTGCCTAACTAAAATACCTGGTTTCTTCCTGGTAGCTGGAAGAATGTCAACTTTGCGTGGCAAGGTTGGTTCTATTATGCTGATCCTGAGCCCTGGTTGGTAGCTGGAGCCATAACTAGCAATTCTGGCACCTGTGGCAAACAGCATGTGACATTCCTGTAAATGCCCTGACCAGGGATCAAACCCACAACTTTGGCACATCAGGATGACACTCTAACCAACTAAACTACTTAGCCAGGGCTAAAATCAACTTTTTAATTCATGTTGTGGCTCACAGATGGGTGTTGTTACCAATGTGCACCATCTGGTAACTTTCTATTTTAAGTATGCATTCTTGCTAACTAGATTTTGAACTTTTAAAATTATTATTTTAAATTTATGTGACTCTAAACATTCATGACCTGGGACAACAAGTCCTGGTCATTCTGCCCTCATTATAGTTCAAAATTTGATTTAAAATAAGAAAACATTATTACTTAAAGCAATTTGTTTCATAAACCAACATTTTCAAATGTGAAATCCATGAAATTAAAAGCAAAAAAGAGCCCTTGCTCTTTTTTGCCGGTTAAAAGACTCCATGCTCCACTACCAGGTGGTGTTTCCAGTTCCAAAGCTTTGTATGTTTTCCATGTGCTTGCAGTAATTGATACAAATTTAATTGGAAGCATGCCAATGGACCAAGTAACATTATAGCAATCCTGTTTGGTTGCAAATGCCCTAACAAAAGGATAAGCCTAGGCCAATGTCCAAAGGCCAGGACAATCCAGAATGTGTTGTGTGGACAGAACCTTGAGCTAATTGGATGTTCTCATCACCTGTTTTGTGAATTAAAACCTCAGATATTCCCTCGGGCACATCACCCCATATGAATGGTCCTTGTGGTTTTGATCATATCTTCTGACATTGTTTCTTGTTTACTTCTATCTTCTAATTTTTGCTATGTGCATTTGTGTAAATTTTTTTCTTTTTTCTTATTTAAAGAAATGGAAATCCCTTGCAGGGACCCCTGGGAAGGCCGAAGCAGCCAACAGTGGTCCCAAGTAACTGTTGTGGAGGCTTGGGCATGTTCAGTAACACCCTGATTCATTTTTCCCTCTGCTGTTGGCCATGAAGCCACAAATATTATAACTCAAGGCAGAATTTTCTCCCCTTCTCTTCCTCTCCCTCCCTCTCTTCTTTCTCTTCCTCCTCCTTCATCTTCTTTTTAAATTCTTTCTCTTCTTTTTTCCAAGAGTTAAATTTACAAGGCTCTTCAAGAAGCATTCTCCACTATTTCCTATTTGTAGTCTTGCAACTTTTATATTTCATATACGTTTATATTCCTTCTTTACTAAATGCTATGAACTACTTTGTTGGTTTGGGAAAAATAGAAAAATATGTTTATGTAAAAACATTTAGAATGTAAATGGGAAAGAAACATGTTTTGATCTTAGAAAACTAGGAATTGCATAGGGAAGAAAATTTTCAGTTAAAGTCAGGCATCAGAATTAGATCTGGAATTATTATGATTCCTTTGTTAGTAAAGTATAAAATAGTTTAACATGCATAATAGAAAAGTTAATAAGTTATACTTTAATTTTAAACTACTGTACTTCAGAAGAAAACCAAAGAACTTATATGCATATATGCATAACCTATGGACACAGACAATAGTGTGGTGAAAGTCTGGGGTGGGTGGGG